GCGTCTGTAATGCTTGTGTAATAGGTGAATGAATAACTCAAGAATCGGTGAAGGCATCACTAATTCTGAACACGAAATATAGGTTTTAGAAAAATGAAAAATATTTGACCAAAGAAAAACCAGAGCAGGATTAGAGAGACGAATATGATTTAGATTTTTATTTCTGTGACTGTATACGAGACACAGCATTAACAGCAGTGGTTATGTCATTCCATTCTTTGGCTTTAGCTGGTCCTTTAATTCCACGACTGACGCTGCTAAAAGGTACAGATTTTCTTTTCTCGATCTCGGAGAGCAGGACTTCAATCTCCGAACTCGTAAAGTTCTTCTTTTTACTTTTCGCTGTCATTTTCATGAATGGACACTTCCTGGTATCTGAGGCAGGAAACACAGCGTTATATGGTGCTTTTGGGGTGGTAATTATGCTAATCTCCTCGCCTCGTGCACGAGCAGCTGGATACGAACAGGTGGAATTCATCATGTTTACGCAGCTCATTTACGCACTTTTCCTGAAGATAGAAGAGTTTGTTGAATCTGACGTGACATGTTCGTACGAACCCTTTGTACGAACAAAAGGAAGAGAAATTTAGGATAAGAATTCGAACATGTTCTTGCATGAAGCCCAAGGTCTTTCTCATAGAAGTGTTTGTTTTCACCAAGACAAAATATTTTTTCTGTAGCCAAAAAATATCTTTAGTTTTGCCCAACCAAAGAACGTTCTTCACTTTTAACCAGACAGAGGAGTGTTCCAAAGAAGTCTAAACGTTTGCGTTGGATTTACTTAAATAAATTATGTCAACAGGTTCTACTCAACTGAACTGAGTAAATCTAAAGCATTTTTTCATTTACTTTATAAGTGAATGTGAAGTAATTGTGTTAAATTTACTCAGTTCAGTTGAGTAGTCCCTGTTGACATCATTTATTTAAGTAAATCCAATGCAAACGTTTAGATTTTTTTAGTGGTTCTTCTGAAATCCTGCCTAAAAGCCTGCTTTTAACGTTTGATATGTTTTCTTTGTACCATTTCTAATGGAAGGTAAAATGAATTCCATATCTTTGGAAAAAATGATGCAAAATAAATTTACTTTTCTACAAACCATCCATTCCTTCACAATGAGTACATATTTAGTCCCCATTTACATGTGAACAATCCTGGAAACTAGGGCTGGGCGATATGGCTGAAAAATGCATCATGAGAAGCGTTTCATATCGGTTGATATTGATAATTATTAGTTAGCTTTTGACCTATTTGAAATAAAGACCAGGAGAAAAAAGGCTGATTCTCCTGTATCCACAACTTCCTCTTTGAGTTGTTTTACTCATTTTCTTCTTTTACTCCACGTTTTTTTTWAAATTTTTATCAGTTATGAGGCACAGCAGCAAAACATGAAACTGATGCTGCATGTTACTCACCAGGTTGTTGCTAGCTTACCAAAGAGTGAGTGAGTTTGATGCCAACAACCTTGTTTAGCTGGGCTTTAGCCTTTAGCMGCTGGTTAGCTTCAGAAACTGTTGATGTTTGTTTTTTGGTTTTCCTCCTCCATAAATTTTGTAAACTTGCGCAGCAAGTTGGTGACCGCAATTATTTTACGAAGCAAGGGGAAGACAAATAAAGAATAAAATTAACCGACTTGGGTAGAGGAGGCTGTAGTAGCTGTTATTGTGTGTTTTTGTCACAATCTCTGGTCCCGGTCTGTCCGTAACTTTTTTCTCTACACAAATTTTGTAAACTTTGTAAGTTGAATTATCGACGTTCTATCGAACATATTTTCTATTGATATCGATCGTGTGTCTATTATGAGATATATGGTTTTATTGCCCAGCGCTATGTTATAGATTTTCAGTTGTTGACTGTGAAAATGTTAAATTGCACAAGACAACGCTGTGACTAAAATCACTGTTTAGACGGGGCCACAAAAAATATTTGAATTTGCTGAAGTTTCAATGCCAGGTCACAAGCTGGCGCCTGGATTTATGAAAACATTTACAGGTCTATTTAACTTCCAATCTGAAACCTGGATTCAAGAACTGTCAGTGTTAGAGAAAACCAACTCTGTTGTTGTGTACACAAACACAACAGGAATGTTACAGTTGTACCTAAAAAGCAACATTCTGTAAACATGGCTTTAGCTCTGCACACATCAGGCTCTAAAGGCATTTGCTACACTGGATTTTGAGCAGCCTGAAAGTGTATTGTCAATGAATAAGCAGTCTTACCTTCACCCACAATCCCAAGGACTTCAAATTTATTCATTACATCACCAATATCAGGGATCTTCATGAAGTCAAAGGTATGATGTGTGAGGTGCATGGAGCTCAGGCATGGAGGCTCTGGCTACAGGACGTCATGAGGTGGCCAGCCGGCGGCTCCCAGGGTGCGTGCATCTGCTGCAGGACATAATATCCACCACATGCCCTTGTCGGGGCTCGTCCTTACCTGCATGGAAACATTAGGCCGAATGAAATTAATACAGTAACATTTTCCCTCAAGTTAGCTGTTAGGATTTTACAGTACCTTACTTTCTGTTTGACCAGAAAAAGCAGCGGCAAAAACTGTACCGTTCTGAACATAGGAATTTATATTTACAAAAGTCCATCTTAAAATGAACAAAATCTGTATAAAATGTGAGGTAGAACCCTACATATCTCAGAAAACAATTTGAAATAATGTTTTAGATCTATAATCCATGTAATATGCCTTGATTTCTCTGTATCAAGCATTTTTACCATATAATTGTACTTTTTATGATATCTTCAATCTTATTATCAGGGTCATTTTCTTTTCAAAACTCTTCCAGAAACATTGTGCAACATAATAAAACCAGCCTGTGAAGCACGCCACRTATTCTAACAGATCCTAATGTTAAGGCAAGGTCCCATTAAATTCTAACGACCCATGCCATAAACATATAAAGATTTTTAAGAAAAAGGAAAGAGGAAAAACAAAACATCAGTGATCTGAGCCYAGGTGTCCTCCGTTATTCCCACCTTTTGAGGAGAATGAAAGAGTCCACACACATTCCTAATGTGATCAAAGCACCTCCTCCAGGATCCACGCGCTCTTTATTGAATCAGATACGACTCCAGATACCGCTTTCTCAATTTCATCTTCCCCATCTGCAGGGAAACTCGAGGACTTTTGTGTAGCCTACTCACACTGCCAGTCTCCTAGGCTGTGGGCTCAGGAGCTGCTCATTACTACAAACACCAGGAATAAACTACAGCTTCCCAGATTACCTAATAGTGCCATGTGTCTCAGCAGTAAGGCAATGATGAAGGTAAACTGTTGCCTAAACTTTAAGAGGAGCACACTAACTCTGACACACTTCTGTATTTTTTTAATCACATGTGTTATCCCATCCATGGGGTTGGCAGTGTTTTGTTTTTATGGCAGATTTAAGGCTCATGTGATCAGGAATGCAGTGGGCATAACCAGGAATCTATATATTTTGAGTGTATAAACAGAATGAGTCATGCGTGGTGATAAACTGGATGCAAGGAATCCACAAGAAACGCGCTTCATGTGATCACTGCACTATTTTAAAACCAATAAAATCAGACGAAGCTCTTGCAAGATAAAAAGAAATGTCACAGGAATTTATAACACATTTATACATAAAACATAAATAATAAAAAATATTATTAATATTAAATGTTTCATTGTGATGAAGGTAAAGTGATGAAGGTTTTTTTTTGTTATTGCAAATCTTTCACATCCTCAAATATAAACAGCTATATAAACAAAATGTGTGTGTGTGTGTGTGTGTGTGTGTGTGTGTGTGTGTGTGTGTGTGTGTGTGTGTGTGTGTGTGTGTGTGTGTGTGTGTGTGTGTGTGTGTGTGTGTGTGTGTGTGTCTGCCCACAGATGAATGTTGCCCCCTCATTCTTTTCAATGCAGAGCAATAAATCCAACAAGTCAAACATTCAGTGTGACCACAAGCTCAACTTATTACAAACATTATCAGCATCACCAGCTCAGTCTCTTCAGCTRGTTATCACTAACCCACTTCTGTTTGACTCACTAAATTAAAAATAATAATAATAATCCGCAAAATTTGCCCAAAAACAAACCCAAAGCTCGACTGTTTTGTGCTAACATTTGACATATTTAMACACTACAAAGAGCCCACAAGTCCAGTGTAAGTAAGGGTAAAATAAACTACTTACTCAGTCAGTGTTTTGGGGGTAAAAAATGATGGACGCGGGCCCATAAATATCCACCCACCAACGACGATGTTTTCATTGCAGCAGCAGCRACGAGAAGCTCCAGTAACTGGATCGTGCTGTAGACAAGCTGCAGGCGCGTCACCAGGCAACAGCATGAGCGGCGTGGTGGTCGACCAATCACAGCGCTTGTTTCTTCGACCGCCCCCTCGACTTCGTGGAGGCCAATGGCGGAGCAGCACAGTTTCATGAGAGGAGAGGCGGCGGGGGAGGGAAGAGGGGGGACTGTTGCGGKCTGAGGGTGTTTAGTTTGAGGTGGGAAATTATTGTTCCAATTTCTCTCTTACATAATTCATAAAAATCACACCCTGCGTCCAGCATGACAGCATAACTCATCCAGTCATCTGAAGGCCAGTCACTGCAGCAAACACAGGCTGTGAGCATGATAGGCTAATCATATGCATTTAAAAAGAAATGTTAAAAATGACAGTTCTGCATACATTTAGCCTACATTCCTCCCTTTTATTAGGTTGATTTGTGAGGGTGTAACCACCTCTTATACTAGCTAACAAATTATAATTATAACAAAAAACTAAGCTGAACTCTAATATTTAAATCTGTATATTTAACTTATATTGAATGTCGTCACTTGAGAAAATAAGCCAGAGAGGCAGCAGCTGTGTTGACATGTTGTCCAATCTTAACATTTTTCTACAAAACTTTATCAGTTTTTGTGCTAACTAATGCTGCCACCCACTGGACTTACTGTAAAGTTGTGAA